CTATAGGTATTGGTTTTGTTTACATGACTGTACTCTACTTTCCTTTCTCTATAAGTATTGGTTTTGTTTACATGACTGTACTCTACTTTCCTTTCTCTATAGGTATAGGTTTTGTTTACATGATGTACTGTACTTTCCTTTCTCTGTAGGTATTGGTTTTGTTCACATGATGTACTCTACTTTCCTTTCTCTGTAGGTATTGGTTTTGCTTCCATGACAATGATCGGATTATGTAACATCTACTACATTGTTCTCATCGCCTACACGCTCTTCTATCTGATCAACTCGTTTCAGCGACACCTGCCATGGGAAAGATGTGGCAACATCTGGAACTCGAAAAACTGCTTTGCTGCAGGAGACAACATAACAAAACTGACAGCCAGGAACCTGACCCTCAATGAAACAGTCTCTCCTGCCAAGGAATATTGGGAGTGAGTGAAAATGTCATTAATAAAAGATCTTTTGGTTGAAATTATCGATATTGTCTTTACCTGTTGATAGTATTTTATGTACAAGAATTCTTAATTGATGACTGTATTCATGTTTAAGCAAACTGTATATCTTTCATTTGGAGTTTTCAGACTGGTTATCATTAGTCACTTTTTTCGTAGCTGTATTGTCCCTTGAATCTAATGGAAAATTTATGGCGAGACTTGAAGATTGCAGTCCATCAATGATCCCCAACGAACTTGTCAGAATTGAAACAATTTTACCAGGAGGAATGGGCAAACATTACACCATCCCATTGTGTAAAGCTGGTAGAGATCTATTCAAAAAAATTCACAGCAGTAATTGCTCCCAAAGGTGTTTCCACCAAGTACTGACTTAGGAGGCTGAATACTTATGTAATCAACAAATTCTAATTTATATATTTTCTTTGCAGGTTTTGCTGACATTCAACCTCCTTCACACATTACAGTGTTAGGTTTGATTAGCTAACATTCAACCTCCTTCACACATAACAATGTTAAGTTTGATCAGCTAACATTCAACCTCCTTCACACATAACAATGTTAAGTTTGATCAGCTAACGTTCAACCTCCTTCACACATAACAATGTTAAGTTTGATCAGCTAACATTCAATCTCCTTCACACATAACAATGTTAAGTTTGATCAGCTAACATTCAATCTCCTTCACACATAACAATGTTAAGTTTGATCAGCTAACGTTCAACCTCCTTCACACATAACAGTGTTAAGTTTGATCAGCTAACATTCAACCTCCTCCATACATAACAATGTTAAGTTTGATCAGCTAACATTCAACCTCCTCCATACATAACAATGTTAAGTTTGATCAGCTAACATTCA